CGCCCCCGCGGCGCCTCGGCCTGCCCGGGAGGAGGGGAGGGAGGAGGGGAGGAGGGAAGGAGGGAGGACGATGAGGCGCGCCCGAAGCTCCGCCCCCGCCCGCCGCCCGCAGGAAGTGCGCCCTGAGCCCTCGGCCGCTGTCCTCCGCGTGGCCACCCTTGCCTCCAAGAGGCTACCCTGTGGAGGCTGCGCGCGGCCCCCGGACAAATATTTAACGGAAATCAGAGGTGGAAAAAGACGTTGGAGCATCCTGTTCCATTCCGCCCGCGTTTACTGAGGCGCCCGCGGCAGGCACGCGGGGGGCTGGGGGCTTTGGGGCCCGCACGGGAGTCGGGATCGCCTGGCCTCGAAGATAACCCAAAATGGAAGGAATCACGCCGCATATTATAGGAATGGCATAAAAGACTGTGAGGCGCAAAGGAGCTGGAGGACACGGGGTGGGAAACCTAGAAGGGAATTCAAGGAGGCCGTGTGAGGGTTCTGACCAAGCGCGCCTAGAGATCCCCAGGCCCTCTCGGTGAACCTCAGAGGAGGGAGCATCAGAAAAGGAGGGAGTGCTACAAATGATGTAGGACCCAGACTCACACCTTGACCCAACTGTGCCTTTTGAGAGAACCCAATTTTTCATGCGTTTGTGCTTCCTTTCTAGGCCTTTGGCTGGGCTGAATTCTCGTTTTTATTTGCTAGCAGAGTGGAGATAGTCAAGGCGTTACTTGACCCGTTTGGGGTGGAAGTTGACCGACTTTAACCACCTTACCTCTCTCCGCATTTTCTTAGGGTCAGGTCAGTAGGGGGCATCAGTCTGCGCAAGAATAGATGGCTTCTAGCAAAGGAATGGGTAGGGAGTATTTTTGCCTATGGATTTCCAACCTCTTTAGGTTTGTCCAGTTTCATCTGGCGAATCTTTAAGATTTTATTTTATTTTTTAAGTTTATTTTGAGAGAGAGAGAGAGAGAGAGAGAGCACGCGGGCGAGTGGGGGAGGAGCGGAGAGAGAAGGAGAGAGAGAAACCCAGGCAGGCTGCATCCACTCTGTCAGCACAGAGCCTCAGGCCTCCAAATTCATGAAACTGAGATCATGACCTGAGCGGAAATCAAGAGTCAGATGCTCAACCGACTGAGCCACCCAGGCGCCCCTCACCTGACAGATCTTGAAGTTGGGATTCACTGTGGTCTCCACCATGCCTTTATGAAGAAACAAGTGATCCTTCAGCTGGAGGAGAATGCAAAGAATTGAAGCTGAGCTAAAATATCACTCAGAGACTCGCTGAGCTTCAAAGACCTTATTTCCCCTGGGGTAATTCGCTGAGCCTTAGCCCTCAAGTTACCAGCTTTCCTCTCCCCCACATGGGTCTGCCTTGTTTGGGGACAATAGGACACGGAGGGCACTGGGAACAACTTTAAATTCTGCTTCTTGTCTACCTCCCAGGAATGCCAACGTCTGGTCCTCCTGGAGATGGGTAAAATTAATACTTTTATATTCAAGGGCTGCTTACAATGACTACAGACCCTATTAACTGTTCTTATAACATCAAAGTATGTAGCACGGATATAACTAGAAATGAATGTTCTATACATGTATAATATAGGTGATTTTTACAGAATAGTGTTATTTATTTTAACAACCAGGCCACCTTAACATAATAGAGATCTTATTTTACGAAGACTCCACATAGCTTTCTCCTCAGGTCACCAGGAAAGAGTGAAAAGAGAGCCACATTTGGATTCCTGCTTCGTCACTACAAGTGGGTGACCATGATCAAGTTTCCTAACCTTAATGAACCTGTTTCCTAACCTAGAAAGGAGGGAGCGCATAATAATAGTTACCTTGGTGGTGGCTGTGAAATAGCATATTCTGCAGGTAACGTTCCTAGCAAAATGCTGATGCAGAATAGACACTCCCTAAATGTTCATTCCCTTCCTTTCCCCCTCTATCCGGTTTTCTCTACTATTGTTACAAAACAATAATTATAGAGTTTTCATAACTGAACATGCTGCACTCCAAACTCCTCTGTTTGCTTCGTTTGGGTCAGAGTACCATTTTTCTGTGCTCCTCCCAAAAACAAAAAATAAAACCCAGAAAACCAGAGTTCCTAAAAGGCCATACGAAAGAGTTTATTTATTTTCCAATTTCCTGGTTGGTCAATGGCATCTGGCCACAATGATCCAGTGGGTAGTCATCAAAACTAAAGAAAGTGAACTTCCATGGAAAACATTTTGGTATAAAGTTTCCACCATTCAAATTTAGCCCAGAACTGCCTATTCATACTCCCCACTTCCTGTTGTATTTTAGTATTCCTTGTGGTGGGAAACTGTCACTGAAATAACATTAAGTGTCCTACAGTATGTGACTGTGCTACTAAAAGTTTTCAGAGCAACATGGTGGGAAGGAGGAAATGTGAAGTTTTTATATCTGAGCGGAAGGTTCTCATGTTTGCTGGAGTTTATGGAGGGAAGCTTGGATCTCTAGGGCTGAGTTCTGAGGAAGAACACACTGGATATTATATGTACGTGGGGGCACAGGGTAGATGCCACCAACCCAAGAACACAGGATGGAGCCTTCTGGCATCCAAAGGGAATCTTAGGCACTTAGGCTGACACCTTTCATGAGACAGGGTCTTGGACCCCAGAATTTTTTAAGTTTGCCAAGCCGGAATCCTGTAAACCTTACCAGCAAGTCTATCTGGGCTTTACACGAGCACCCAGACCTCAGAAACAAAGCAGAGTCGCAACAAAGCATTCTCTCTTTCTCTCCCCTGGTACAGCATGTGCTTAGGCCTTATTCATGTTTGTGTTAGCTGCTTATCCTCTCCTGGTTTTTAATACAATCGTAGCTTTATTTTATACGGCATCCCAAACCCTGCCTCAAAATAACACCACCACTTCTGAAGTGGATGGCTGATGAGGACAAAGGGGGTTTTCAAAGAGCATTCAGAATGACATGTAGAAAGCCACAGAAGCCTGTCTCAAACAAGAGGGCAACTGAGAAGACACTATCGCCAACACAGGCAAAATTGTATGGACAATCTAATTCAGCTAGTGATGTCCCAAGAAAAAGAAAAAGCCAGCAGGTCCACTTGAGGCCAGGATCTGAAGAGTTTTGTAAACAAGAAATTGGACTTTGCCCCAGAACCAGCAGAGAGGCTTGTGGCTAAATCATAGCATCATTTTGTATTTCCATATCGAGACTCCTGGCCCCCAAAGCACTGAGACCTTCTGCAGTGGATAATTCAACACAGGCCATGGAGCTGGTGCCTCAGATCCACCTGTGAATTTGTTAAAATGAAAATTTTTAGGCCCTATCCAAGAGATTCTGATTCTGGGTGGGCCTGGAATCAACATTTTTAAACAAGTCTCTCGGTGATACTGATGCTGATCTATAAACTGCACTTTGAGAAACACTGTTCTCTGAGCTCCACCCATTTCTCTAAACCATAAGCTGACATTCCAAACCACCTTTTGTAAACAGCATTTTAAGTGCTTACTTTGGAGAAATTTCCTGTTTGCTGAAAAGTTTCTTAAAAGACAAATTTCTTTTGCAGAATTCTATTACAGGGAACTTTTGCCCTAAACTTTAATGGTTCTTTTTATGGAGCATCTACCAGGTGCTTAAAATTTTGGAGAAGAAGCTTGGTGAACTAAACTGTCTATTGACAGATTCATTTTATAGCTCTGCCTGTGGAATGCCTCACAACAGAGTGGGTATTTTTCAAAGCACCCAAAAAGGCCATTCTTTGGATGGCCTTGCAAGCTCCTGGTAACTGGGCTTCGTCTGGCCATAGAAATGTAATTCACCACCTTCAAAGGGATACCTGCTACCTGGCTTTCTTCACAGGCAGGCTCTGGAGGGTGTGGGTTTGTACCTATTCTTTTTTGGTGGCTACCCATTAGGGTGAGCT